CCGGCGGGCGAACAAAAAGCCCACGAAAGCAAAGTAAAAGACCCTTCCACCCTCAAGAAAAGCAGATTTTGACTCGTCAAAAATATAGTCCCTACTTATCTTCACTTCCGAACATACTAGCCAGGAGAGCGTCTCACATACATGAGTTACTCGACGACCCCACGTCCGTAACGACTATGGATGCTAGGCTAGGCTCTTCCGCGGCAGTCACTCTTGACCAAGACTTTTCTGACATCTTTTCACGACCTTCGGATTGTCCTGCGGCATGTATCAAGGAAAAATGAAGGAGGAGGCTAGGAAGGTTGAGAGACGCTCTTAGGTATACACAGATCTGCTGCGCCCGGCTGGCCGGTCTCTTCGTCATAGGAGAGCCCCGCACCCAGTGGTTTTTGAGACTTTTCCCAGCAGCTACACACCCGCAAATGGCCATCGCTTCGTTGGCTGGAGAGGGGAGATAATGACGGGATAACGGCTCCTCTTATTGTACACTCGAATGAAGATATGTGGGGGTATTACTGCTGGAAAGAAGTCGTGAAGGAGGCAAAGGAGGGAGTACACTACCCGAGGCAAAGATAATCCCGCGCTGTAGGCAGGAGGACCTACATATCTTTACGTAGTCATAGACTTTGTAGGACAAGAAACACACAAACACATACTGAAATCCTTAGGAACATGCATCTACCAACTTATATTATATTCAAAATGCATTTGTCTAGTATGACTATAAACTTTTGCCAATAACGTAGCACAGTAATCTTTGGCATTTCTCCCACACATGCACCTCAAAGCTTTTGGATCTGATCACAGCTATTTTAGAAATTATGTAATTTCTTATAGTCACAATTTTTTCAGTTTTTTATTGAGAAAACAGTTATCTATTTGTGACACCGCCGATGAATTTTGTGGAAAATTGAAGTTCTGTGCCTGGACAAAAGACTTAGCACGGGGCCTAATCCGGGATCGAACCGGAGACCTCTTACATTCTGGTGACCCAAAGCAAGAATTCTACCACTGAACTATCAGGCCGTGAGGACCGGACAGTAATTAAAACCTAAGTAGAGCATGCTTTGAAGTTATTTTATCCACAATTTATCTCGGCTAAGCTCTTTAAATGATTCAATGCCGCGTTGTATCAAATGATGCAGAGGTTACTGAAGAAGCTGATGGTGTTAGCTTCTTTGTTCGCTGAGTCTATCTCTCTATGCCTAGCGTGCTTTCGATATTTAAATATTCAAATATTCAAATATTCATTGGTTGAGCTACTAAGCTGAAGAAGCAACTAAGCCTAAACATCCCAGCCCCTTGGGTCGTTCATGTGGGTGAGAGGTGTATTTATGAAAATCACTCAAACGGTGCTGAAATCCTCGTTCCTGCCAGCTTCAATATTCACGACGGTCCCATAAGGGCGACTTTATTTGTGTAAAATCTAACCGACCCCTCTCTGACCCGCTCCAACAGGATTTCTCATCGTAGCTTGAGTAAATATCATGCACTCAGCTCCACAGCTTCGCCAGAAACAGCGGGACCAGTTTGATTCTGGCGTTATCCTTGGAGTAGGAGTATATTTTTCTCCGATCGTGGTTATTAGTTGGAAGTACCCAGTAGGTACGGTAAAAGTTTCGGAGATAGCACTAGCGTCGAGAACCAGTCATCACAAATTCTAAACCTTCGTTGGTACAACACAGACACACCGCAGGAGACTTGAAATTGAATCCAACGGAACAACGATTACAACGTGCTTCCCATCGGGCAAGTCTCTTAATTGTAATCACTGCTCAAATTTCCAGGTCGAATATCCGTCGAGTAAGAACGACCAAGAGCGAAATCATCGTGACCCATCGAGCCCAGAAGCGAGAGTAGTGGAGTTCGGAAAAATACTCAAATCCTTCCTCTCGCCCAAGCTTAAGCAACCAGCTGCTGTCCACATTGGAACGAATCCCGTAGGAATCTATCGTGCAGCAGTGCTGTGATTCATGGCAAGCTATCTAAACCGCTTTAGGCCCCCAAAAAGTCAAAAATTATACGACGAATATCGCTATGTTTATTAAGTATTTTCTGACAGCTCAACACTCCAGCATCTTTTTGGGCTACAATCTCTCTGCTAGTTGCCAATTCTTAGCTTGGCGCTTCAGTATTAATTCCTCTATTATTGTAATGAGTGCGGGTCAAAAAGAAATTGGGATCTGGTATGGTAAGGAGAATTACAATTAGCCACACGTATAGCCTTAGTGTCGATATGACATTCCAAGCTTTCAAGAGCTCCAACAATAGGAAAACAAGCTTCATGCTTAGTATTCTACCTCAAAACGGGCAAAAGAGAGGGCTTGCCTCAAATAGTCTATAACCGATTTCTAGAACTTAAACGCTAGAATTTATTCCTTGAAAATCTACTGCATTCATTACGATCCTATCAACCAAATAAATTGCCTCATTTAATTATTAATATGTTTTGAATACTTTGCCAATTTCAATGAGTAGTTTATCTGCAGATGTAACATATTTCTGGCACTTTATTAAATGAGGATAGTAAATTGTAGCCTAACTTTAGGCTTTAAAATTGAGCGCACTACACTGCATTTTATTCATAATTATCTGCTGTATACAGCTGAGGTCCAATACGCACATAATTGATTATCAATTTTGAGGAACCCATTAATTTGATCATGTTTGCCACGGTTGCGCTGCTAGATCTACAGGAGATGAATGTTAGTTGCCTCTGATTCTTCGCAGTGTACCTTGACGCGATGAGCGTTCATTATCTGCGTTAATGCTCACAATTATTTTTCAACCTCCTCGAAAGAAGTAGATTTTGAGACTTATTCTACTAAGTTTACGCGTTTCTTCATTAGTGCGAGAACCCGGAAGTAGAGGATTTCCGACGATTTACCTTGTAGTGACAACATCGCTGCGCTACCTCTTCATCTAAGTCTCGGAGCCTTCGTTTATGCAATTAATTGCAGGACATTTATCCTTCCTCGATCTAACTATCTACTAATTTATCTTTCATGTATTTTGCTACATGACAAAAACTGCATAGCTTTGAAATTGAACTGAGTTTATTTAGTAAGAAAATTAGTGCGCTTTATCATCAATTTTAATTCAAGATAGAATAAAAGATTGTATCAAAAAAATTTCATGATAATCTTTAAACGTGATATGAGTTTAAGTCAATCAGAGACATTTCTGTGATCATACTCGCAACTAAAGCTTAATAAATATAATATATCGTTCTGAAATTAAGTATGATCGTTTTCCGATATCTTGTCTCCAATCTCTAGTAATTTAGCATAATTTTAGCTTTTGCACCCGAGGAAAAAGATAGTGACAATTAAAATCCAGTATCTTCTAATGACCATTGCTAATCAAGATACTAGTTCTCCATGTTCACCCCTTATCTTTGCAACAATATGATTCGTACGTAACATCATTCAACCTTCAACTAAGAGTAACCTTCGTTCCTAATTTTTTTGCAGTTAGCCAGCCACAGTTTCCTGCTTCATGAAGACTCTACATCAAATTTTGCATATCGTTCGCAAAAATCTTGGAGATTTTCATATATCTTTTGCCTTCCAATAGTGCAGGGTTTAGAAAAGCATCACTTATAAAAAGTGGTCGGAGTGCTCGTTGGTTAGATCACCCTATTTTGAATGTATTTTTGGATAAGTAAATTGAGATGATCTCTTTCGCTGTAGTCCGTAAAGCATAAAATTCCATCTAGAACCCATAATTACTGGCCCACGAGGGTAGGTAAATTCAAAGTTGATAGACTTCTAATAAGTTGCCCATAAAATTTCTAGATTTTAGAGCTTGTTCATCCCGGCCCTAATTAGTTGTGCCCTAGTTGTGGGTAAGCAGAAAAATCTTTTGAGTCCTAGCATCATGGACATAGAACTAATTTGAATGCATCGAATAAGACTTAGCTAAGAAAAAAAGTTGAGATGAAACAAAGATTGTTTACTAACAAGCTTTAACGGGATGAATGGAGATGTCAAGAAACCGTAAAGCTTGGCGTAACCGGAGAGGAGCCGGTCAAGGCATAATGATGCAAGCGACATTGACAGTGGTAGATAATGTCAGGTCTCGAAGGTGGAAGATTACGGACCGTTTGTCTACTTGCTTCTTGAGATGAAGAATACTTGATGTTGACTGATATATTTATGTAGGCTTGTCGAAAAGGCCGAGTAATCCTAACGTACTCAACTCATGATGACATCAACCCGACTCGCCCTGTAACTCATGATTAATCTTCGACATCATCAAATTTCCTGCCAATCTCATCTCTACCCCTCCCCCTCGTTCCTCGTCTTCCCTATTCCTGCTAATTGGTGCAGCTGCCATTGACCCACTCTCGCCCTCTCCGACTAGTCCCACAAATCAGCGCCTCCACCCAAGCATACCCACACTCGCACGTACGCATTCTCTCTTATACACACCCACACCGACGTTAGCGCAATCAAGACCGGCTAGTGGGATGAACGCATCACTCCTCTCAATATTTCCATGTTCTCGTTGACAAAAGATTTGCCGCAGCGCCAATCCTCCCCTTCTCGACTACGTTAAATTTCAATCGACGAAGCAACAGTATTGCAAGTAGTTTCTCTGACCGAATTCCATCCGCAGACCATCCTTTTATTTACCTTCACCCCCCTTTTCGCCGCTTGGTAGTCGCAAAGCTCAAATTTCCTCATCTTATTCGATAATCCATCAGAAATTTAATCGTAACAAGTCTTTTGGATATTTCTCTAGGCTTGGAAACATAATTGGGACAATTTTTCACTATCGGTCTATCATTTCCGAGAAACTAATATTTTATTGACGGGTCGGCCAAAGAAAAGTTAGGACACTTATTTTCACAACTACAACAGCCATATAATTTTCACGCAATTCCAGCATACTACCTCTCACGATAACTTATCTTAGGAGAGTGAAAGAATCCGAAATTTTCAAGGTGCCCTTAGCGCTATACTGCTCGCTAGGACTCTTGAGCTCATCAGTTTAAAATGATATCAGGATCAAGAGCATGCGAAGAAGCCTTACTACAGAGTTATGTCCAACTAAACTCTTTGAATAGCGACAATAGCTCCATGAACTTCATTGATCATGAGCCGCAGTCAAATATCCCCACTTCTTCGGCCACTTCGATAACAGAGCATGACTATCGGTTCCCTCGCAGACCAACTGACCGATGGATTCCTACATCTTCTACCCACTTTTCCCAAAACTCGTACTTCAATCAAAAAGATGGTACTCGAGCAACTACATTTATCTCAAGAGATTTGGATCCTGGTAATATCAAGGTTTCTGGTCTCCCAGCTTCTTGTGATATACTGCGAAATTCCTCGGTTCCATCTTGGAAAGAGAAAACTGCTGGTAACGAGATAGAATCGATAGACGAAATGCGGAAGAAAGACCCTTTGGCAACCCAGGTTTGGAAATTATATTCTAAAACAAAATTTCAATTACCAAACCAGGAGCGAATGGAAAACATTATTTGGCGTATGATGGCCATGAACCTGCGGAAAGGCAGGCAACACTCTACTGCTGAGTATATTCGCTCTTATCGAAGTTATTTTCACACTCTAATAGCAACACAGTTCATCCAAACCTCTGACAGTTCCCCAGAGCACACCTAGCGGGATAGCGCGGTTGAGACAATCATCCGACCTTATGGAAGTTACGAAGTCACTTATGGCAGTAAATACAAAATCTACGAATAATAATAGAGCCACTGCCGAGGAAACGAAATCATCGAATTGCGATTCTAAATTACTACAAAATCTAGAAATGGATGAGGGTATTGACGATAAATTGTGTTGTGCAACAGCTTCTGCGATTCCGATCAAGACACGAAAGTCGTCTGCGCAACTAATCATTCCTCAGTCAGTTCCCGTTCCGCAGCATGATCCTCGTAACACCCAGGAGTTCGACTATGTGCAGAGGCATATCCGCAAGTCAAGCATCGATGAGCTATCGCGTGTGAGTTTTTTCGTTGAAAACACCATCTTTATGAGGAGCCACTGACAAATGCTCTCTAGCCTCCAAAGCGACGCGCGAACTTTTCACCACGAGTTCCTGCCTTGAACAGCTGTACTATTGCCAACAATGGTGAACTACAAGACTACTCCCTTGACCAGCCTGAAATACCTGAGATACTAACGCAAAACGTGGGGAAGGTACCTATTATAGCCGAGTCAATCAGTGGCATAGATCATGATACGTTCACTTCTAATGCAGGCCCCTACCAGCAACCATTTCCTTTCTCTCCAAGAAATACTCTCTTCCACCAAACTACTTATTCTACAAATTATAAAGATATCTCATCACCTTCCCTGACCTCAGAATTGAATACCAATGGATATTTCTCTTCCCCGGGAAGCTCATTCCCTTCTATGCCATCGAGATCTACACTAGCCCCTAAGATTGAACAAGTTTACTTTCAGGTTCATGATTCTGATACGCTTGGCCAACCAACTAGCTTCCGTCACGTTCCATCAAACCTCCAAAATTCTCAGTCTGCATGTAATATTTATGGCATGAATCGCGGTCAGATCTTCTCATCGATCTCGAATGTCGAAAATTTCAACGATTTGGCAGTCTCTAGTGCCTACGATCAAGTGGGTCTTACCGACTCGTCTTGCAGGTTTCGTGCGGAAAACCCAGTACTCTCGCCAGAGGTCCTCCGAGATAACGAAAATACGTATCACACAGCGGCTGATTCCGATGACGAAGAAGATAGAGGTACCTCCCTTGCTGAAAGCTTATTTATGATGCAGCACGATTTATCGCCATCGCCCCGTGATAATGGTAGTCCAGTGACAATATCAAGCAAGACAAAATGGAAGACCGCATCCTCTCCCCCATTCAACGCTGCTACCTCGCGATACCAAGCAGGTCCATTAGCAGTACAATCAAATGGCGGGACAAATGATCATGCAGAATCACTGGAATGGAATGGAACCAGAGGAATGCTAAGTCTCAATACCCACATTGCAGAGCCCACCGCAATGAAAAACTACTCGTGCCAGCAAAACGCGCAATCTACATCAACTCACAATGTTGCAATAATGAATCGTAATCAACATCTGTTTGAGTCTTGTCACTCCCTTGCTGCTCAATCTTCTGGTCCTAGTTCTCCTATCGATGCAGCCACGATTTCAAACTCTCCTATAGTAAACTCTCGCTCTTCTTCGCCCGTGCCTAAACATAGCTCTTCCACTAATAATCCTCCATCTCAGCCTCAAGCCCAAGCCCAAACTCAGAGCGAGGGTAGCGTTCCAACTACCTGCACAAACTGCTTTACTCAAACAACACCACTGTGGCGAAGAAATCCAGAAGGTTATCCCTTATGTAATGCATGTGGATTATTTCTGAAGCTACATGGTGTCGTAAGACCTCTAAGCTTAAAGACAGACGTTATTAAAAAGCGTAACCGAGGACCAGGCTCTGGTTTACTTGTTAGTGGAACAGGATCTCGAGGCACTAGGAAGATAGTGGGCTCTAGCTCAGCCATCACTGGCGGAACACCAGGCTCTAACACAAGAAAGAACAGTATTATAGCTTCAAACACACCAACTGTGATCGTCCCTGCATTAACAAGCACCATGATGGCACATGGACGCAATAAAAATGACCCTCAAAGTCCTTTAAGTATGGGAAATATGCCGACTAGTCTTTCTGGTCTAACAAATTCAGCAGCTACCGGGGTCGAGAGCGGACAGAAGGGTCCAGTGCCTGTGACATCAGCTTCGATGAAAGCTATTTCTAGTCCGGGAACTCTGAATGAAAGAGTAGGGGGAGCCAACGGTGGTAAGAGACAAAGAAGAGGTAGTCGTGGCACATCCAGTGTTGATGCAGAACATGAGTCCCCCAGAGAGTCTATCGAAAATAATGAAGTTGGGTCAATTTCGAATCCTAACTTCACTTATTACTCTGCTATGAGCGGTCGGATGAGAAACGAAATAACTCTCGGGACTAGCGGCGCAAATATAGGGCTAGATGGAGTAGCTGAATTTAGTAGCGGTATGAGTAGTTTAGGAAGTAGTATGCCAAATATTGGGATGGGTATCGCAGAAGGTGTCTGCTTGGAATCTCACTCATCATTCCATGCTGGTGGCTATCCGAGCGTCCTTACGGGCTCGTTGAATGGGTTTGCAACGAATGGTGCACCTGTCAAGGGGACAGGAGAATTCTGTTTCCAACAACCAGAATGGGAATGGCTAACAATGAGTCTCTAGCCTAAAAATCTCGCTTTCTAGTGTTTAATTGAATACCGGAGGAATACTCTGGAAAATAGTCCTTGGTATTATCATCATTCCCACCAAGGCGGGGAAGGATGCCAAAGTCGGAAATTAACTACTAACTTTGATCGTCTCTAATCAAACCACCAGAAACCAAGGACGCTTTTCACTAGGAGATCCGCCAGATTAGACTTTATCGGTTTGCCTTTATTTTGATAGCGTTGGCGTTCCTGAAGATACCCAAAGAATTTTTCCGTGGATTGTTTCGCAATACGCTAATAGTCAGATGCCTCTTCCTATCTTAACTCTTAAATTTACTAACGGATACCAGGTAGCATTATAAACTAACAACAAAATATGATTTTATGCATTCTCTTCAGAAGGGGGCTGGTATTTTCCGAGAGAAATTTACTGAGCCTCTGGCAGGGTACAAAGAAAAAAATAGAGTACAAAGGATATGATGACTAAAGAGTGAAATTTTGGGAACAAAGCCCCAATGCTAGAGGGGATATTTCTTGATTATCAAGCTATTTTTTGAGTTTGGGTAATGAATGTCCATGTTATTCTGTATATATCGTTGGCCATGTTCGACATGAAATTAATGAACTACTTCGGTAACTTGTAGTGCTTGTAATGATAATAAATCAATTTTCATGGATATATTGTTACGGGGTGTGAACGAAAATAAATACACCAAATCTTCGCTTCAAGCTTCGAGTTTTACTTTTTTTCAGGCCTCCAAAATATATTCTTAGTTTTGAAAATATATGTGAAGGTGATTTTTTGGTTCATTAACGTGCTAGGTGAAGTAACTACCGTTGCACTCATACTGGAGCTTAAGCACGAGTGGGGCCGAGCTGGATCAGGTTAACTACCAGGAGGTACAGATAATCCTCGTCTCATCTAAATGACCGGACAACCTCAAACTTCACCTATATGTTGAATCATACCAAGCCTGATCGTCTAGAAACCCGCTGTATAAACGCCGTTGCGCAAATTCCTTCCTCAGCTTCGGCCACCACGCGCCCGAGCCCTTAACATCCTTATTGACTCCGAAATATAAATGCCATCCAAGATCTCATCGTTGCTCTAGCCTTGCACCTTCATATCGTACTGTTGAGTTGTTATCGTCATCGGGGATTTGTGCGATCCCTCAGTGTATCTTCCCTTTTCTTCCTCCTTTGAACACGTCCCGTTACCATCATGACTTACCTCATTAGAGCGTGCGTAGGTAGGTGATGTGACGAGTATGGAGGTGGGCTGCAGGTTTGGGATCGACTGAGAAATGCTTCGTCGCAAATATATAAAGAGTTTGAGAGATGTTATTTGTTTGAACACGACCCCCAGACAGACCTGAATCCATTCGTGAATCGAATGATGGTGGTGATGAGTTTTTAATCGACTATGTTGCGGCTGTGAAATCTCTGCCGATTGATTTTTCGACCAAAATATCGAGTGCAACTCCTTCAAGTCAAAAATCCTTCCAATAAAATTTATCCCACCCTTTTTCGTGACTAAATCTCGGCTCTGGGAGAATATTTCACTCCCAGGTTCGTAGAGTACACCACTGGCAGGTGTTCAGCCTTCGTCTTCTTATGTGAAGGTGTTGGTTCCATTCAGGTAAGATGTTACTACCTCAAACAATTAAACTCTCAGACAATATTAGCTGATTGAGTTGGATGGTGCAGTATTGTGATTATGAGGAGGGGAATTGCATACAAACAGTGGCTTTATCAATATGTGCTTGACACTGTTATGAATTGGACGATGATATGTGTTCGCTTTATTAGATTCGTTTCCTGATGATTGCTATCTATATGAAGGAAATTACTCCTACTTATACCTGAAGCTCATCTATCTAATTGCTAGTAGAGTATTCCATCTTGTGTTGTAAGATATTCTATCATATGCTATAGAATAGTTTACATTCTTATTCGAACCATCCACTTGCAACTGTTATGATGTCACTACACCAACCACATCTTGTATAGATCTTTATATTATCTAATACAACTTGTCTAATTGGCTGAGTGATTTCACATCACAACATGCAGTGGTACACCACCCAGGTCGTTCTCTCAAGTAGATATCGGGTAGCTTGAACACCCACCCCATTTGAGACAGGTGAAAGCTGGTTCGAATCCAGTAAAACCCACACACCACCCTCTATCGCGGTGATATTGTACTTGTGGGGTGATGAAAGCACACTCGTATAGACACAGATTATTCACGCTTATCCCTGGGGTGGGTATCCATGGAAGAGGTTATACGCCGTAAGGGTTAACCTCGAGTGGTATCTGCAAATGAAATCTTAGTGTGAGTGTTCTAAACATCAATTTGTGTCATCCTTCTTTAAATACAGACCTTCTGTAAGACCTGCATGGGCCTCAAGGCGCCAAATCAGGATAATGAATAATTTTTATTCTACCACCCTACCTGTTACGGTTTGACCGTGGTATAGCTTAGGCGGAGACCTAAGCGGAGTTTGGGGGCGTATTAGGGAGAGTGTTACATATTATCTTGTATCAAGCGACTAAGTTTCACTTGGCCACATTACATTGGAGCTAGGAAGGAATGTGAGACGGCGAAGTAGAATTGCCAAGTGAGAGAGTCAGCTAGATGGCAAAGATGACAACAGGCAGTGGCGGAACAATATGTCATTCTCACCTACAGAGTACGTACTGGATGAGCTAGAAGGATGTACAAATAGTCATTGCCCTTAGTTGTGGTACTTCTCTCTTCATATAGTTTAATCTTTCTTAAAGTACACTACAACTAGCTTGGTTTCGTCACAAGAAGGTCGCGTCACATAGATAACTTAAGCAATTCATACAATAGGAAATTAAAACAATCTCCATATTATTCACACACTTAAGAATACTAAGGAATATCCTCAGGTCCGTCCATTGATCCAAATCCTAAGAATATAACTCACGAACTTCACTTCTCTTAAAGCCATAGCTACCTCCTTCCATACCTTCATCCTAACGGTACGTCATTACAGTTCAGCATAGCCTTTCAATAACCTCATCTCCCAATCTATTCTAATATGTATGCGCATAACAAATAACTTGTTCGACACCGAATTACCCAACTAATATCGATTTCCAAGGTTCATCTAATGAATGCTCAGACGACAAAGACACTTTTGACAGTGACGCAAGATCACTTAATAAATCAAAGGCCTCGTAACTGTCAAAGATGCACCCATACCGCCACCCCAAGAGGCGAAGAAGTGTTGGAAATTTCGCGGCTTAAAATGGGCGCAATTTTTATCGACCGAGAGTAGAAGTTGACTAAAAGAGTTTCATGTTCGGATTACAGCTAAAAGTGTGGGAAGTGTGCGCTACAAGTACAAGTGTAAGCGACATAGAGCCTAAGCCACAGTATAAACAAGTGTGGTGCCATCTAGGTATAGGAAAATCCTAATAGACTTATTGTGACCGCGCCATATAGGTACTCATGTATCCATTAGGTGGTCTGAAGCACTACCATGTTGCTCATTCTAATTTATATAATATATGTTAAAACCTTAGTCCTTATATTGTGTAATGATCACTTTAAGGAGTTCTGATATAAGACATGGAAGGTAGACTTGTCTATGTATTCAACTCGTTGGAGGTCTATGAAATAATTATGCATGAAAACGGATCCAACACTCGAGATTTACATCTTGAGTGCGGGTCCGTGAACGCTAACAAAACAGCCCAATAACTACGTGATGAACAAACTAATTGTACAGGGTATCTTGCTCTCCGGTTCTCCTAACTCCTGGCTAATGATGACAACTCAGACCCATAATAAGGGTCACGAGGATCCTGGAATTGCAATGCATTCGACTTATTTCTCAACAATATATACAAGATTGTGTCGGGAACCTAGGCGAAATGGAAGGCCTGTACGTCCATAAAAATCCGTGTCTCTATTTCCAACAAGAAGCAGCTATCAAGCTAGCCCGAATAGAATGGGGTTGCAGAAACTTATAGTGTGTATATTGATCATTCACCACTAAGATTGAGAGTGACTGGGGAATATTACGGGCCATGAGCCTGCCTGTAACAAAATTATGCACAAGCTCCCTATCGACCCCATGCTTCAAGTATATCACTGGTTTTTATGCAGAGATCCGAATATGGATTAGGACTACTAAATTTTTGTCCGGCATTTTGACGTTTCATTTAATTATAAAGAGTCTGCTCGTACAGCTGACTCTACCCCCTCGAAAATGAAGCTAGGTGAATATCAGTTTTTCAAACTTTCTTAATCTCAAGGCGAGGTTAGGATAGTGTTCCACAGGGTGCGTATGTGGTCTAACGAAGATCTAGGTGGTAGATAAAGGTGATGAGTGGGTCGAAGGGATGACTGGTCTTCTCTAGGAAGAGACAAATAGGTAGATAGTAGCGATAGAGGCTACACGTGGGTCTTGCTGATGAAGAGCTGGAAAGAGATAAACGGTCTTCCCGAAGAAGAGATGGGTAAACAAATGTATTGTTAAGGTAATTGAAGAAGACGTTGCGTGAAGAATAATGCTTCTTCACGCCGAGTATTTATATACATAAAATTACTAAATAGCACGTAGCACACAGCCCCTATGCCCAACAATCTGCTACACATCACCTAATGAAACCAGCCCATTCTTATCAGTCTTCCTTGCTGGTTTTAGAAGTGCATTGAACTATTATTTGTGTTTTAACTTAGCCGTCCGCATGGCGTTTCATAATACGCTATACCACAATGATCCATGAAACTTAATGACTTCGAGTACACTTCAGCCCAAATAAGAGGGTTGAGCTGAGAGGGAAAATTGAACATTAAATTCCTGTACATGGAATTGAATAAAAGGCTGTTTTAAATTCTTTATTCCAAATAAATTTCAGAGGAAAACAATACCTTGTTTTTAAAAAAGGAGTAGCAAACTGGGAGCCAAATAGAGACAATTGAGAGATACATCTTCAGACATGGTGCCAAATACACCAAATCACCCTTCGATTATCAAC